GCCCTCCCTCGCCTCCCCCCATGCTTTCCCCCCCCTTCAAAGGCAGGAGCGATCTTGGGCTCACAGGACATACAAGGAGGGTGTGTTTTACAAGACCCACTATTAATAGATGGGAAATGTTTCTCCTGCATTTTTAATGCAAAGTGGCAAAGAGGACAAACCGGCAAGGAAGGGCTTCTTGAGAGCATCTTTAAGGCCTGGGCAGGAGGAGCTGCCAAACCCTTCTCTTAACATCTCCTTTTCAGGTTAACATTGAGAGACATTGAGGGAGGTGTGAAAGGAGCCTCTACACCTGGCCAGATGTTTTAGGCTACAGGGTCTCCCCTGGAACTTTGGCCCCCGAGATGGAGGGCTCTGGCCAGCTTGCGATCCCTGCCAGTCCTCTTAGGCTCTTTCTTCTGTTCCTTGTTATTGGCGCTCTGCTAGTTTCTGGGGAGCCCTTTCTCGGAGAGAGGCCAGCCTGAACAAGGGTTTGGAAAGTCTCCCTCCCATATCAGGCGGCCCTCGAGACGGAGCTCCCCTCTGCCCTTTGCCACTGACTGGGGGGGGGGAGTGGACTTTGTGCACAGCCAACCGGAGCCTCTCCCCAGGCTGTTGCTGCCAGGCCCCCAGGACTGGGTCTCGGAGCCCCAGGAAGATTGGGTGCCACAGTGGGGGGGTGGGGGGTGGCGCCGCTGCCCAACGAAGGCTGCTGGGCCCCTCGGCTCCTGGGCCCCTCGGCTCCTGGCCTGTGCATGGGAAGCAGCCAGAGGCGGAAAGAGGAGGAAGCGGGAGCGAAAGAGGAGGAAGCGAGGCTTCCTCCAGCTGTGTATCCGCTTTTAGGACAAACCACAAGGGACTCGGGGCAAGGGCTCTCCGCCTGAGCCGGCCCGATTTCACGGGGCCCCGTCCCCAGGAAGCCCCACCGTGAGTCCTGAAAGCCGCAGGGCCCTCCTCTACGCGCTGCCCACGCCCAGCGCCCCCCCTCCAGGGGCCAAGAGCACAGAGCCTCTAGGGTGGGAGGCTTTTTTGAAGGGCCACGCTTCAGGGACCGGAGCCACCTCCCTTCGTAGCTTTCCCCAGTCACCCTTGAAGGGGCTGGGTCTCCTCCGGCCTCTTTCCCAACCGCTGAGCTGCAAAGCCCCCGCCTGGGAAGGGAAGGCTCCCCCCCCCACATGCTCTCTCTCCCGGTGCCTCTCCATCTCGCCCCCAGCTGCCTGCTCAACAGGTCTCTCTGCAGAGGGGATGCTGGGTGGTGTAGTCCAAAGCCGTCTCTGTCAACGGCTCTCCTCAGGCCCCCTCATGGTTCTTTTAAACATACTCCCTTTCTCCTAACTTTGGATCCGCGCTCTCTCCTGTCTCAGTGCTTCCTCTGAGGGGGCTGGTCTGAAAAGGCAGCCTATAAATCTTTCAAGCAAATCGGTTTTGTTCTCAAGACCTGAGTGTTGGTCGTGCTGTGGGAAGCTACATGCTCAGTGCATGGGGCAGATGGTGGAACTCCCCGACACAAGATGTTGTGTGGACAGTTTGGCCCTCAAAGAAATCTCTTCCATAGTGGAGGCCTATACAGTGTTGGGGAGCCCAGGATTGTCTTGCTCTGGGGGGGTGGAGAGGCCTTTGGGGGGGCATTTGGAGCTACTGGTTGCCCCTTGGGGGGAAGAGAAGGATGGGTCAGAAAGACTCCTTTGGGGCCCAAACTGGCAACATTTCTCTCTTTCCGCGCATGGTGTTCGTTCTAACACAGTTTTTTTGCGCCAACGTGTGTGCTTGTGCGTGAAAGGTGTGAATCTCTGTTTTGCACTCCTCCCACAGCCTATGAAATCACCCCCTCCATGACTCTCTTTCTCTCTCCCCCCCACTCCAGCCTCCCCCAATACACCCTCTCCCAGCAGCCCAAGCTGGTTTGTGGCTCAAGGCATCGCTCTGCTCAGCCGACATGCCAGGCGTGTGGTTTCTATGGCAGAGTTACGGTATCCTTGGCAACCCCAGGCACAAAGAAGGCCGGAGAAAGCATCTTGAAGTGGTGGGGAGTGGGGGGGGGAGAAGGGAGTCAGGTTTCTTCCAAACTCAACATCTCTGTACTCGCCCTCCCCTCCACGGACCACATTCCCCACAACCGCCCGGCAGGCCCTACTGGAAACCCGAGTCTCCATGGGGGCTGCGCCCGGCAGCCTCCTGTTTCCCATCTTTGCTCTCCTGCAACAATCCTTTGGTTTGCTTCAGATCGGCCTGGTTGTATCTGCCTGTATCTCCCTGACCCCTCCTCATGTGTAAGCACCCCGTCACCAATTGGCAGCCATGACTCAACCCCGTCTGGAAGAAACAGTGCTTGGCAGAAGGAAAGGTATATATGTCAACCCTGAGCCTCATGTACTGTTGTTTCATATTTTTTAATTGCTTTGGTTGATCTGTACAAAGTTGTTGAAAAATATACAAATTGTACATTGTCCCCCTCTCCCGGGTGCTGAGCCAGTTCCCCACACCACGCTTCCCCCCCACCCCCTAAAAAACCCATGATATAACTTTTTAGGCCAAATAACTTTCTTTACCCCCAGAGTCCAGGAGCTAAATTTGTGTCCTTTAAAAATAAATGGTATTATAAGCACCTTTCGATTAAACTGGCAAAAATGATGCACGGAGCAATTATTTAAGGGCAAAAAAATTAGATGACCCTCTAGAGCTGAGTGTGTGATGAGGGAATAAAGCTGAAGAAAGAGATTAGTAGAAACGCAGGAACAGATTGTGTGTATGTTTGTTGGGGAAACAGTGGAAATTATTTGGGAATTATTTTGAACAGGTTCTGGAAGAAGCAAGAAAGTACCAGCCATTCTTTTCGTGTGGTGGCCGTTTACAGCTGGCTGGGCACAGCTGGATCACCAGCCTGCCAACAGTGTAGATCTCGCCCTTTCTGTTTGCTTGCTTGTTACCTTGAGATGCTCTCCCCTTCGTCCCAAGGTAGCCCCCGTGCCTCTCCTCCTCCTCCTCCTCCTCCTAGGCTCTCCCCTTCCTCCCAAGGTAGCCCGCGTGCCTCTCCTCCTCCTCCTCCTCCGGCCCTGACAACAGCCTTGTGGGCCAGGCCAGGCGGAGGGAGGGCCTGCCTTAAACCACCTGCTAAGGAGTCCTGTTTGGCCAGCCTAATCGCTCCGCTGTACTTCCTGGCAGAGGACTGTCACTCAGGATTCACGGTAGCCGTTTTGAATGGCCCATGGCCGCAGAGCCCACCGGCGCTCCCACCCTCGCCCGGAAGCTGCGGTGGGGATCACGGGGGCAGCCCTTGGCCAGGAACCTTGGCCCCGGTCGCATCTTAATAACAGCTGCCTTGTGGCAAGTGAAGTCCAGGGCTTCCTGAGAGGACAGATGGACGGACGTTCACCAGGTCGGTCTCTCTGAGAGTGAGTTTAGTTCCTCCTCCTCCTCCTCGGGTGGGGCTAAACTAACCGCTCTCAGGGGGGGTCCCTCCTCACTGGCGGTGCCTGCTTGGGCTTTGGGAGAGTTTGGCAGCCCTTAGCTTAGAGAGAGGGAAGCGTCTCCCCAGCTGGCCGATAGGCTGAGCTGGAAATCCCTTCACACGCTCGTCCCCGTCTGTCTGTCGGAAGGCTGGGGCAGAGAAAGAAGACTGGGGGAAACTGTGGGTGGGTTTGCCCCTCCGCCGTGAACCTCGGGGGCTCAGGGGCACGGCTGCTGACCGTGTCCACAGGCCATCTGGCAAGTCTGGCAGCTGAAGGGGGAGGCTCTCCTTGACCAAACCCAGTTCTCTCTCTGCACGGATGGGAGAGGGCAGAACGGGGGTCGCCAGAGGTGTGTGTGGGCATGGGTCGTGGTGGTGGTGGTGGAGGGGGCAGGGGTGGAGAATCAGGGCTCAAGATGGGGGGGAAGGGACTTTGACATATATATATGATCAATATAAAAATACGTTCTGCTTAGGATGTCATTGCTTTGATGCAGGCTGGAGGCACTGTGAGTGTGGTCATCCGTGGGGCACCCCAGAGAAAGAGGTGGCACAGGCTGACCCCTCGAGACAGGCCCTGCCTTTCACAAAAGATAAAGGGCTGGTGCCAAGGTCTAGTCATCGTCGTCGTCGTCATCATCATCATCATCCTCTGTGTTTATTTCCCCCGACAGGACATCCTCGATCCAGTCTTCCAACTCGTCCACAGAGGGAAGGTCATCTTCATCGTCCATCTCTAGCCAGATGCTATCGGCCTGCAGGGACAATATTTTTTTGGAAATCCAGTACAGAGCAGGAGGACAAGACCCCTGGGCTCATTTACAGAAGCCTTTGGGACTGGCTTCCATGTTTCTCTCTCTCTCTCTCTCTCTCTGTGTGTGTGTGTGAGTGAGTGTGGTCAGAGGTCTGTTCAGGGAAAGATCAGGAGAGACCCACTGATCATGTCTCTGTGGGTGACAGTTTTGGCTCAAGAGCAGAAATTGCCCCTATACCATTTTTGTACAGAACTTACATCAGTTACGTTGACCACACCAATCTGAGGCCGGGATAAGTCGATGCCGAAAGTCTTCTCCCAGTAGGGGATCAGCTGTGAAGGAGAAGGAGATGAGTGAGGCACCACTTTCCAAGGTCAGGGAAACAGGGCCATGGAATGCCATGTCCTACTGGCTAGTGACAGTGAGGTCACCAACTCCCCCTGTGCTCTCATGCAGGAGAGTATCCCAATCGGTGGCCTATGTCTCAAAGCCCAGAACACTTCCTTTGGGAGGAACTAGATGTCCGCATATACGAGGCACTCTGGACACTCTTGCCCCCAAACAGGTTTCCCAAGACCCATGCCCCTGCCTTCTTCCCCCCTAAAGGGCCCCACGGCCTGCTCACCAGTGGGAAGTCTTCAGGATCAATCCAGATGATGCTGAGGTCCGGGTTGTCTGTGTTGTCTTGGGCAACATCTTTCAAGATTTCCAGGAATTCGTAACCATCTGCAGGCGGAGAGAGCCGAGGGAAAGAGGGGTGGGGTGGGGGGCAGATCCCCAATGGCCCCACCCCAGAGCCTCCTCCTGACTAATCTCATCTGAGCCTAGGCTGGGGTGGCCCTTCTCCCGCTGCCCCACCCGATTCCTAGCCCTCAGTGCAGGTTTGCCTGTGTTTGCACCCAGTGTCCGTCTGTTTTGTGGCTTCCGTTCCCTGCTCGTAACTCTGGCGCTGCTCTCCCCTCCAGTCCCTCTGATGTCAGTCCTGCGCCAACGCCTGCGCCCTCCCTTTCGGTTGAGACAAGGACTTTCCTCCACCTGTCTTCTCTGCAACTTGGCTTTGGCTAAATAAATGAATACAGCCTGATGGATCATCAAGTGCCTTCCTCCATCTCATAGCACTTGGGGTTTTGAGTTACTGTTAACTGAAATCACAAGAAAGAACAGCTATGGAAGAGAGCAGACACGGTGCTTTGCTCAAAGGCAAGACAGCCTCCCGGAAGCACAGGACTCCTCTTCCAGCCAGCCAGTCTCTGCTGGGTGGGGTGGGCTTACCAGGGTCGTCTTCCTCTGCAAAGGCAACAATGTGGATGCCATCTATATCATCCTCCTGGAAGGAAAAGCAGAGAGGGGGGGCGGGATGTGACTTATAAGGGGTCTGTGTCCTTTTCCAGCAACAGGAGGGCGTGGGAGTAAAGTTGTGGACTGTAATTCAGTAGCCCGTCTGGCGGGGAGATGTTGACTGCTACACCCCCACGAACAGCCGTGGGTCTCAGTTATGGGGGATGTGCCATCCCCCAAGCAGCTTTCCTACACAAGCAGCTTTCCCCTGCTGCTGTTGTTGTGTGGCGGGTGATGTCACTGGCACTGGCCAGTTAGTGCTGCTTTTCTTTCGAGGACTCACTTCTGCTTAGATCGTTCTCCACCAACAAAGTCTGGATGTTTTTGGATACCGTCTTTGCTCTCTGGGAAGGGCCTTTGTGGCCTGTTTACATTCTGATGCGTGCATGTGCACACACATGCCATGGCAACATCAGAGGTCTTAAGGAACACACACACACACTCAAAGCCCATCCGCTCTAAACAAAACCAGGCACATCCATTATTGATCAGGCCGGCCCGAACAAAAGTCTCAGTTTGCACCCGAAATGCTCCCTTTGCATCGTGTGTACCTGGGGCTGCATTATTTATGGGGCGCTGCTTCCTGTCCCTGTGAGAAAAACAATGCAGCAAAGTGGGGGGTGGGGCCCCCTGCAAGGAAGGTTGGGCGCGTGAACCCACTGGTGGAGGGGACCCAGGCATTGGGCTCTGACTCCTGCTCAGCCAGGCCAAGCCCGAGGAGGCCTGAGCCAGCCGGTGGACTGTCTGGGGCCAGCCCTCCCTTCCACCAGGATCTCCCCCCACCCCCTGGACACACACAGGTCACCCGCTCCAAGTCCCCACTTGGAAAAGTGACTTTCTCGAAGTCGACCTCCCCCCACCCCACCCCTCCCGCCTGGTCCATCAGGGGCCCTGGGTGGTCACAAGGGAGCCTTTCCACGCTCTGATGGGACCTGGGCTGGCAGGGACCCTCCTTGCCTCCGCACAGAAGAGGCGAGTGGGAAGAAGGGTCGTCGCTGCCGCCAACGAGACGGGCAGAATTTCCGAAGGGAAAAGCTGGAAACCTCCGGCTCTGCCCAACCCGGGGTGTTCACCCTTACGTCCGCTGTCATTGGTATTGTTGCGTTTATTACTGCTCCTGCTCCTGCTGCTACCACAAGGGGGATGGGGATGATGATGATGATGATGATGAAGACCAAGATGATTTAGTGCCCTTTGTACATGGTAGCTCTCCACCTGCTTTCCCTGGACGTACCCAGGTTTCATACATGCTTTCCGGCTGGAGCTTCCTTAGCGTTGGCCTGCGAGAAAGAGAGGGAGAGAGAAGAGGGTTGGACAGCAGACCCTGAGGGGGTGACTCTTTGGGATGACGAGTCCCAGAATCCCCATGCCAGCGCAGGGAGGATTCCGGGAGGTGTAGTCCGTAAAGTTTTGAAGCTCTGGGGGAAAGGGGGAAGCCACCCCTCCTCTTTGGCTGAGAAAGGTGGGGGAAGACAGAAGTGAAGCTGTTTGGCCTCATCAACGATAATTAGTTTATGAGAGGATGAGCTTAAATCTGGCTGACTGTTTTAAATCAAGGTTAGGATGCTCAAAACATTTAAATTGGAAGCTGGGAGAATTTACGGTCTTAGGCAACAATGCGGAGAACATCCCAGCAGTCCACGTGGTGGGGCTTGGGAACGATTTCTCCAGCTCTGGCTGAGACGTGTGGCTCCCGTCATGGCCAGGAGCGAGCCCTAAAGCGCACCCAGGTTAAGGAAGGTCACCTGCCCACCCAAAGGTCAGCAAGTGGACACCCTTGCCTTGCCCTGCTGACCCTTGTTCTGAACAACGTGGCTCAAGAGCAGTTCTGGTCTGCCAGCCGGCCAGCCTGCTGCTGTTGTTGTTGTTGTTGTTGTTGTTTTTAAATGCAGCAAATGCCAAAGGGAAGGGGTCTGAAAGTGGGCCATGTGGGGACTCCTCTGTGCCCAAATCCACGGCAGGCAGCCCTTTTGGAAATGAGTGGACAGAGAGAGAGAGAGAGAGAGACCAAGCAACACCAAATGCCACAGACAAGGCTGGGCAGCGCCAGAACTCAATCCAGCCTCATCAGCAAAGCGGTGCTGAGCAAAACAGGGAGGACAAAGCGGCTGCCATGGCAACCCCAGCCCCGGCGATGCCAAGCAAGCGGGTGGAGATGCCAGGGCCTGGGGGGGGGGAAGCTGTGGCCGGCCAGAGAGGGACAAACTCACTTCCAGGGAGAAAGGGAGAGAAAGAGAGGGAGAGGGAGGAGGAGGAGCAGGAGGAAGGGGGCCACAGGGCTACCCGTTCAGTGGGCCGATGCAGGAGACCACGCCTGCCCCAACCTGGGGCTCTGGCTTCCCAGACGGGCTGGCCTGTCCCCGTTTGGAGCAGATGGGAGCGAGGGTTACGAAGCCTTTGGGTCAATCCCTAGAGATTAGCAGGGGAGATGCCGCCCCCCCCAACGGATCCCCTGCAGCATCCTCTGAGCGGGCGAGGGGGGGGAGAGAGGGGCCGAGGCAGCTGGCGGCTGAGCCAGGCAGGGGGACGTGGCCTTTCTGGGTAATCCTCCCTGATCTCTAACATGCCCCTTCTTATGGGCGCACTGGGGGGAGTGACGGGGGGCGCCCTTGGCTTCCCAAAAGAGCATCCTTTTGGGGGGCTGCTTGCAGGCTGAGCCCTGAGGGGCGAAACCCAGCAGAACGGGAACGCTTGGACCCCCAACTGGTCTGGACCTCTCAGGCCCTTCCTTTCCCCCCCCCATTTCTTTTTTAAAAATTAATTTATTAAACAAACATCCAACCTAAACAACATGAACCTAACACCACAATAAAATACAATTACATAATACACCAGTGCCACCCTCACCCTCAGGGCAAGCATTAATAATATTTTTTAAATTTCACTCAGTCCATTTTCTCTCCAAAACATTATTGTTTCTCCCCTCGGTGTCCTTCGCAGGCCCTTCCTGCAGCTCTTTCTGCAACCCCAGCAGAGAAAGCAGGGGGATCGTTTATTATTCCAATGGATTCCCATCCTCCCCCCCTTTTTTTTCCTGTCTAAATTCTTGTCTAAACAGACAGCTGTTTTGACAGCCAGCGGAAGGAAGACCCGTTGAGGGTGGCATGTGACGGCTGGTGGCTACTAGCCATGAGAGAGGCTTTCTGAGGGCGGAGGAGAGGGAGGGAGGGAGAGAAACGGTCTGACCGCCTAAGAGCTCCCCCCAAGATCTTAAGAGAAAATGTAAAACAAGTAATCCACTTTGCACAAGCATAGGGTTTTTAAATTTTAAATTATATCTATTCAGTTCCTGCCTTTCCTATGTTGCCCGCTCAGAGGATTAATGCTCAGCTCCCTGGCGCATAGCATCTGGCTGCCACTTTGAGAAGAGAGGGTTCAGGAGCCTTGGCTGGAAAGGGAGACTTTGGCAAGGGAGGGTTTCTGTGTGTGTGTGCATGTATGTGTGTGTGGTGTGTGTGTCCGTCCGTCCGTCCGTCCAGTGGCCCCCGCTGCTGCTCCAGCCTCCCTCCTCCCACACCAACAGGCCAGGAGTGGCCCCCTCTGGGCAGGGCCCGCTGCTGCTCCGGCCTCCCTCCTCCCACACCAACAGGCCAGGATCCGTTCACCTCCGGTGTTCTTCCAGAAACTGCACAATTTCCTCCTCGCTGTTGGGCTTGTCCGGGATGGTGACCGGCTCCTCCATGAAAGGTTCATAGTAGTCGATTTCATTCAATTTCAGCGACAGTTTCTTGGCCACCTGGAGGGTCAAAGAGAAAAGGACCTCAGGGGGGTGTGTGTGGAGGGGGGGCTCTGGATCCTGTCCTGGGACCCCTCCGTAGGCACAGGGCAGCAGGGGGGGCGGGGCAGCGAGTACCTT